GTACTGAAGCCCTAGCCACAGCAATTAGGCATGAAAGAGAAATAAAAGGCATTCAAATAGGAAAGGAAGAAGCAAAATTACTTCTGTAGATGTAATGATCTTATATAGAGAAAACTCAAAAGAGTCCAATCCAAATCTCCCAGAACTAATAGACCAATTCACTGAAGTTGTGGGATATAAAATCAACATACAAAAAAAGCCAGTTGTATTTCTATATGCTGAACAATCAGAAAAAAATTAAGAAAAAAATTCCATTTACAGTAGCATCAAAACCAATGAGACACTTAAGAATAAGTTTAACCAAGAAAGTGAAAAGATCTGTACACTAAAAACTAAAACATTGATGAAATAAATAGATGACAACAGAAATAAATGAAACACATCCCATGTTCAAAGAATAAAAGAATTAATATTGTTAAAATGTCCATAGTAACCAGAGTGAACTATAGATTCAATGCACGCCTTATCAAAATTCCAATGGCATTTTTCACAGAAATAAAAAACATTTGAAAATCCACATGGAACCACAAAAGACCTTGAATAGCTAAAGAAATTTTGAGCAATTTTTTTTCTTTTCTATAGTTTAAGATAAGAAATGAGGATGCTAGGATTACTTTCTTTCTTTTCTATAGTTTAAGATAAGAAATGAGGATGTTAGGATTATTGATCAATGTGGTGTACGTGACTAGCTCCCAATAAAAGGAAGTAGAAAATAAAGACATTTTGCTACATGCCAAAAAAAAAAAAAAAAAAAAAAGAAAAGAAAAGAAAAGAAATCTTGAGCAAGAAGAACAAAGCTGATGGCTTTGTCTGATTTCAGAGCATACTACATAGCTATAGGAATCAAAACAGTATGGTGTCAGCATAAAAACAGACATATAAACCAATGGAACTGAATAGAGATCCCAGAAATAAATCTGTGTATGTATCGTCAACTGATCTTCAACAAAAGAGTCAAAACACACAATGGAGAGAGTGTGGTTTCTTTAACAAATGCTTTTTGAAAAACAGAATACTCACATGGAGAAGAATGAAACTGGACCCCTATCTCACACTATATACAAAAATAAACTCAAAATTGATTAAAGACTTAAAACATAAGACCTGAAATTGTAAAACTACTAGAAGAATATATGGAAGTTGGCCTGGGCAATAATTGTTTGGATATGATCCCAAAAGCACAGGCAACAAAAGTAAAAATAGACAAATGGGATTGTATTGAACTAAAAAGCTTCTGTGCAATAAACAATCAAGAGAGCAAAAAGAGACCCTAAAGAATGGGAGGAAACACTTCACAAATTATGTATCTAAAAATAGGTTAATATCCAAAATATAGGAAGGATGAAAACAATTGCAAGAAAACAAATAACCCAATTGAAAAATGAGCAAAGAACCTAAATAGACATTTCTCAAAAGGATGCATACAAATGACCAACAAGCATATGATAAGGAGCTGCATATCACTAATCATCAGGGAAATGCAAATGAAAATCACAATGAGATATCACCTGACAACCTGTTAGAATGAGTAGCATCAAAAAGATATGAGATAACAAATGTTGGCAAGGACATAAAGAAAAGGGAGCCTTCTATGCTGTTGGTGGGAATGTAAATTGGTATAGCCGTTATAGAATACAATATGGAACTTTCTCAACGAACTAGAACTACTATATATCCAGCAATCCCGTTTCTAGGTATGCATCCAGAGGAAATTAAATCGACATCTTTAAGAGATATATGAACTCCTATGTTCACTGCAGCTTTATTTACAATAGTCAACACATGGGAATAATCTAACTATCTATTGGTGGATGAATGGATAAAAGAAATGTAACATTTGTATAATAGAATATTACTTAGCCATATAAAAGAATAAAACCCTGTTGTCTGACTTGGCACCTGTGGCTCAAGTGGCTAAGGCGCCAGCCACATACACCTAAAGTGGTGGGTTCGAATTCAGCCCAGGCCCGCCAAACCACAATGAAGGCTACAACCAAAAAATAGCTGGGCGTTGTGGCAGGCGCCTGTAGTCCCAGCTACTTGGGAGGTGGAGGCAGGAGACTCACTTGAGTCCAGGAGTTGGAGGTTGCTGTGAGCTGTGATGCCATAGCACTCTACCCAGGGAGACAGCTTGAGGCTCTGTCTCAAAACAACAACAACAACAACAACAACAACAACAACAACAAAAACCCTGTTGTTTGTGACGATATCAATGGACCTGGAAGATACAATATTAACTGCAATAAGTGAGAAACAGAAAAACAAATGCTGCATGTTCTTATTTGCATGTGAAATCTAAAAAAGTCAAACTCTTAGCCAGGTATAGTAGCTCATGCTTGTAATCCTAGCACTCTGGGAGGCTGAGGCAGATGGATTTCTTGAGCTCAGGAGATTGAGACCAGTCTGAAGAAGAGTGGGACCTCATCTCTACTAAAAATAGAAAAACTAGCCATGTGTCACAGTGGGCACCTGTAGTCGCAGCTACTCAGGATGCTGAGGCAAGAGGATTTCTTGAGCCCAATAGTTTGAGATTGCTATGAGCTATGATGGCACTCTCCTCAGGGTGGCAGAGTCAAACTCTGCCTAAGGAAAAAAAAAGTAAAATTCTTAGAAGCAGAGAGTAGAATGACAGTTGCCAGGGCCTGAAGGATGGAATGAGGGGAGAAAAAAGGGTGTAGCCCCATTTCTCAGCACTGTTTTGTGCTGCCATAGTTATGCAGATCCTAGATCTGCCATCTAAGAGCTCCCTAATACTGTGCTTACCCCCCACCCAAGAACATGAGGTCAGCACAACATTCTACTTTATTTGTACTCTCTAGTATCCAGGCACAGATCTTCCAGGAAGACACTAAGATCATTAGGTCACTCCCAGGCAGACCTCTCTCCAGGGATGCACTGGTAAAGGTTTAACAATGGCTTCTTGAAGGGAAAAAAAAAAGTCCTTCTCAGTGGCTGTTGCCAATTTCTGTGGTGTAAATATTCCTGCTTTGGCTGATGCCAAACTGTCAATGCAATGTCTGTGGATGGACATGCAGAAACTCACTCATAATACAGCAGACACAGGTAACTGCAAAGGATCAGGGTTAGTTAAAATAATTGGGAATGGGCATATTTTGAGTATTTATTACCTTTGTTTTTAAAATAAATTATTTAATTGTAAGTTTATGTAATCTAATTTTTAAATAATGGCTGTATTTAGCAACTGGCTTTCAAAATTCCTGAAAACTTGCCAGTCGACTCTTGTGAGCGTCTGTGAGCTGGCTCTCACACACACTGGGGCTATTGCCCAGCCTGAGTTCATTGGTCTTTTTACTCACAGGGACTCTGCTTTGCTTTTAAATTTACATTTATTGCTGCTAGAATGTAAGCTCAGTGAGGGTGGAGATTCCAGCTGGCTTGCTCACCACTCTTCCTCTATCAGTTAGAGCAAAGCCTGCTGCATAGCAGGTGCTCAATAAGTAAAGCCATGTTCACTGTGCAGTAAATAGTCGTTGAAGAGTGAAAGAGAGAGAATGAGATTCCTAACACAATAGTTTCATGTAAATTAGAAACAACAGGGAAAGGATGACGACATGACAAAGCCTTGTTTTCTGAGGATGCAGGGTGTTCGAGGCCATTTGTGTTGGTGACTATGGGAAGGGAGGCTGAGGGAGGCAAGGATGGAGGGCGGGAATCCTAAATAAATAAAACAAGAGAAGAGCTTTGCCTGGACTGGAACTCAAGAGTGTGACTACTCAACTCTCTTCACCTGAGAGTTGACTAGGAAAATCAGATCATCTCAGATCATATTAGAAAAAAGAGAACCTCTCCATTTGCACAGAATTTTGTGGGAAACAAGGCAGGTTCTTGCCCTGGACCATGGCAGCTCCAGAGAAGAGGCTGGAGGGGGCACACAGCAAGGCTCGGGTGTTTTCTTCTAGGCACCAGATACAATTAGAGGGGCATGCAGGCTCCCAAGGGACAACACGAATGAGGCAGCCGCTTGGCTCTTGGCTGGGCATGATGTACATGGGTACGTGTTTCCTTTGTAAAAACTTGCATACATTTATGGGGTACAGGTGTAATTTTGTTACATACACCTGTATGTATTTTGTAACATACATTCTGTACCCCATAGGGTGTAGTGTTGAAGTCAGAACTTTTAGGGCATCCATCACTTCAATAACTCCATATAACTTTTAGGGCATCCATCACTCCATTTTAGGATGCCATTTTAGGGCATCCATCACTCCAATAACTCCAATAACTCCATTGTATCCATTAAGTAATCTCTCATCACTTCCCTCCCACCTCCTCACCCTTCTGAATCTCCTTGTCCATCACACCACACTCTACATCAGTGGTTCTCAACCTGTGGGTCCTGACCTCTTTGTAACAATAAAAGTACATCACGGCATTAGGAAGGTTGAGAACTACTGCTCTACATCCACGTGGACACATTTAGTTCTCACTTATAAATGAGAACCTGCCGGGTTTGTCTTTCTGTGTCTGAGTTGTTCACATTTTAATAATATAATGGCTTCCAGTTCCATCCATGTTGCTGCAAAAGACATGAATGCACTTTTTGTGGCTAAATAGTATCCCATTGTGTATATAGAATATATTTTCTTTATATGATTGTGAATGCACTGAATGAATGGATGAATGAAATTTGAGACTGTTCCATTTTTACAGTTATTGTTTATTTGGTTTTTAGACACACTAAGGGTTTTGAAAATGGTCTTCTCTGGACTACAACAACAGTTCAGAGTGTCTGTGCTCCTGCCTGCCCTGCCTAAGGGGTCTTGAGTAATAGTGGTGATGCTAGCGTGGGAGGCATGGGTGGGGAGAAAAATCCTAGAGCAACTGTTCTCATAAAGGGGCAGCCAGACCCAGGGGTAAGGGTCAGAGTGGTAGGGGCAGGGCTCCAGGGTCCTGTGAGGAGAGAGGAAGCCTGGGAAGGCAAGTGAGGGCAGCAACGTGCAGTCACGAGGATGACTGTCTGCCCTGCATCACCTCCTGGATCCAGTTTTGATACTTGCACAGGTTGGTGTACACACCAGGGTAGCCAGGCTGGGCACAATGCTCCATTCCCCAGGACACAAGGCCCTGAAGCTGCCCTCCGCACACAAGGGGTCCCCCAGAGTCACCCTGAAGGGAAAGGATGAGACGCTGAAGGACAGATGGCCAGAGCCAGGGGCATAGAAAACCAAAGAGGTGCAGATGGGCAAGGGGACAGGCTGAGACACTAGGGCAGGGCTCCAGGGCAGCATCCATCCCCAGCTCTGAGACCTCAGCCACTGGAGTGGAAGACACTTTTGTCTCTTGTCCCTGGTCCTATGTCTGTTTCTGTCCCTACCTCTGTCATTTGGGTCTTACTGGGTCTCTCTCCATCTTAGCTCTACCTCTATAAAACTGTGTCTCCCCCTTTTTCTTTTTTTTTTT